TGCACTGAATATTATTTAGAATGATTTAGAATATTAAGATTGCTATAATACACACTTCTCTAATGTAAGAGTCACCAGTTAAATGAGATTAACGTAACAAGATCTTTAAATGGGAGCACGTAAAAACTGACAGAATCCAAAGAAGTCTGTATTGGAGTTAATGGTATTGTAACCAATTCATTGGTTTGCTAATGGACTATGGTCATTTACTATATTACCACTGGGAGAAGCTGGGTGAAGGCCCCATGGGAACTCTGTACTCTAGCTAGTTTCACCTTTTGTAAGTTTTAAACCTCCTTCGTTTTAAATTAAACTAATTATATAGTTTAAGAAAAATGCTATCTTTTCACTATAACCAGTGACTATCCGATAGTCCAAAAGAATATATAGAGATGGTAGGGAACTGCTAATTAATTGCATTTATGACCTGGGCTTAACTAATGATTCTTCAATTGTTAAGTGACTCTATATCCCAGAGTATATTACAGAATATACCAATTTATAAGAAAAAAATGGTGGCAGCTAATTATTTCATAGCATGTTGCAGTGGGTCCACTTAACACTGTTTATGTGGGAAACTGCTGTAATTATATAAATGAGCACAGTCAAGTAAATTAAGTGAAGTTTAAAGGTGCTGTGCTTGAGATCTGAAATGCCTTACGGTGAGTTTTGCATTGATTTTCACACAAGGCAGACACATTTGATTTTGATTTTAGCATTGCACTTTATATGGTGAAGTATCAGAGAAAAACTTGGAACTATCACTCACATCCTGACATGCCCTTCCTTTGAAAATGGTGACACCACCATGCATTCAGCCTTCAGAGTTAATAATATCTGGGAACAAACCACAGCAGTTAGACCAGCATGATTTAGCTCCTGCTGTGACAATTATTATTTTTCTTAATTTTGCAATTAAATTGCAGAGTTAAACTTGACATATTTCAAGCTCTGGCATTTTTTCAGCTATCTTAGTACTTCATTGATAACTTCAGAGGTTGAGAAGCAGTGAAAACAGACAGTCCGGATATCATTCCTATAGCACCGAGGCTATGTGAGCAAAGATTAACTAAATCTCTTAGAAGCTCTGCAAACTATTTTTGTTATTTATCTACAAAATAAAACAGGCTAAAAGAGCAGAGCGGCTTTTTAAGATAGTTCTATCATAAGCCCAATCCACATATGCTCGTCAGGAGGTGATTGAAGCATCCTGTGTGTACATGAGCAGGTCTTTACAAGGAGGGTTAAGGGGATACAAAGAACATTTCTCTAGCCCTGGGGAATCTTGCACCCTTATCGTGTAAATTAAGCAACTTTACATAGGTTTATTAGAAGATACTGGTCCTGCTGCTCAATATTAATTTGGGGATTGTATGGGAAGCATGAAATACTTCACATCTTATTAAAGGGAATATTTATAGACAAGGCCATATTTATAAAAGATGAAGAGAAATACACTTTTGTTAGCAAAATCATAGGTTTCCTTTAACTCTGTAATTCAGGGCATAGTTTTCTGGAAATGATCTGGAATTAGTTTTATATATGATGTCAGTTTGCTAAAGACTAAAAGGGCAAGCAGAATTATAGAGTGCTCCAGCGGACAGAATTACTTCATGAATAAAAGTGGGAGAGGTTTGTGTGCCCAGGGAAGCCATTCCTCCTTGGTACGGCGCACCTCAGTTTCATAGTTAAGTAAGCTGTAAGCGATATGGCACCTTGTGGCTACCCCCTCCTGGGTATCTGCATACTCAGGAAAAAATAAGCCAGCATTGCAGAACATCAGATTTCTTACTAGTTGGCTTAGGATTTCTAAATAGTTTTTTTAGATCCACATGTCTATGTTTGATTCAAGTCTGTTTTGCTGGAATTTTCCTGAGTGGTTCATAGTGATGGAAGCACAGCTCTGTGCTTGAGCTCTGCTCAGATCTCAGTGGATCCTCCCACAAGCCTCTCAACCTCTCTAGACCTTACTTCTAAAAGGAGAACAGGACCAAATATAGTATTTGTGAATATTAAGTGAAATAATGCACACAAAGTGCTTAGCTCAGTGCCCCTCACATTGTGAAGACTTAGTATGTATTAGTGACTTTGTTTTATTATCATGATCTTTATTAATAATAGTGAACCCTGCTTGTTGGGGGAGTTGGTTCTATTTTCTTGTTTGATAGGCAAGTTAGGTTTAAGGGTCTTCTATGTTTTCTATTGTTAACAAAGCACTCTTTTATGTACTTTAACTAAAACTCCAAATCAAATGTTAAAAAGCCAGAATAATATAAGAGTACGATTCATAGAAGTAAATCTTTTACTTAGAGTTTTTTACTTTAACTGACTCAAATCATCTCATGTCTCATATCACCTTTGAGGAAGACATGTTAAGCAGATTACAACCTTTTATGTACATTTTCCTATAGGCTGAGAAAGTTCCAGAGGTACAGCATTTGAGATCATCCAGATTACCCCATGGAAGTTAGCATAAATAGTACAATTTTCAGGAGCTCCATACATAGTATATTAAAATATTAGCTTCAACCATATAATATTGCCAATATTAAAAGTTTTTAAACCTACAAAATTAGCAGTGGGTTTCTTTGTATGCTTCAACTGAGTAGTTAAAAGAAAATCAAGTAATTTATAGTTACAAATGGCTCCCGACTATTTGGCAATAGAAGTAATGAGGAAAATATATTGCTCAAAAATTACAAGTGGGAAATTGAAGGCCATAAAGAATTCAAATTCAAGTTTGGAACGGTACTTTTTTTATAGTTCTCCAGTGGCCAAATTTAAATTTTCACATATCATAAGATTTGTGTGTAAGATCACTCATAATCCACAAAGGTAAATTCCTGATTGGTTCCAGACTATTGGCAGCAAACACGTACTTCCACAGAAGAAATTAGATAATTTTTCTCCATGGAATATTAGTAGCCTTAGGGAAAAGATTTATTGATACTCCTTGTCCATGTATACAGGATGAAATTCACATGATTAAAAGTTTTACATGTAAAGTTTGTATTGGTTATTTAGTGCTTAAATCCTAAATATGGAAAAGGAAAAAGAATCATCATACATTTAAGGAAATGAGAACAAAATACAAATATAAAAGAAAAAATAACACAGGGAAATAGACAAATATAATTAATATCATCAGAGACATCAGAGAAAATATTGACTGTTACACAAAAATTATTAAAGATAATTCTAAGAACAAGGATATACTTCTGTAAAATGAAAAGGAAATAATGAAAGCATAAAATTAATTTGAAAATTAGACAACTCTCGAGAAGACTAAGATATGAACAGTAAATGAAAAGATGACAAAATTAAAGAATAAATCCAGAAAGTCCAACATCTGACTAAAGGAATTCTGGAATTCTGGAGCAAAAATGTGCATGTATTACACACACACACGCACACATACATACATACACACACATGAGTTTTTAGATTAAAAGTGCCAACAAAGTGCCTAGCACAATTGAAAAGACTCATATTAAGTTATATCATTTGACATTTTAGAACTACCTTAAGGAAATATTCTAAAACTTTTCAGAAGAGAGAAAAAGGAGAGAGATTGACAGAGGTCATGTCACTAGTGAAATTGAGAATTAGAATAGCATCAGACCTCTTAACAACAGTACTTGAAGACAGATGCTAAAATAATGCATGTCTTTATAATTCTGGAGGGAAATATCATTCAACTTAGAATGAATAAAGATATACTCAAGCACTCAGGTTGTCAAAAATTTACTTTCCAAGTATCCTTCCTGGGGAAGCTAATACAAGACAAGATCCATGAAAATTCAGGATTTATACTGAATGGGATCTTGGATACAAGATAAGGAAGAGGTGATGAAAAGGCCTAGGGTTATATTTGTGCTGCGGGGTTAGAAAACAAACAGTGTACTTCTGACAATATTATGGATGAGCTATTCTGGCAAATCTTCTTCTATAAATATCAACAAGATGTGCTGGATGGAATATAACATTCCACTTAAAACTGAGCTGAGCGCAATAAAAAGTAAGTAAAATACTCAGGAACTAATAAAAGAGGAACCCAAATCTCACCCTGGTGGTTTTGACTCAAAAACAAGAAGCTCAGGTTCTAATACCTCTCCTGATTGGAAGAAATGGCCAGGCTTAGTGGGGTTTGAATTGAGATCCTCACAAGAAATCATCAACCTCAGAGAGCTGCACCCTTAGTGAAGGAGCAGCCTGGGGAAAATGCATCTAGCAGCAGGATGAATGACAAGGAGACTTATCCAACTCAGCCTCTGTTCTGAGTGGGGAAAATATCTCCCAGAGAATTTGAGACATCTTGTGGTTCTGTGAAATCTTACACTCAGAAAGCCATATTAAGTATTCTTGAGATGCTAGTACCTGAGAGTCAAGCGCTTTTTGAAGGCATGTATTTTCCACATAGGCTGTGCAGAATTTCCACAGTTAATACTGTATCAAACATGCTCACCATTGAAAACGATAAAAAAACAGGGCCCACTCTGGTGACTCAATGAATTAAAGCATAGCACTTTGAAGCCATCCACAGCCACTGCAGCACAAGTTCATACCAAACCAGAGAGGTGACCCACACGGTGGCAGACTTCTCCTGACCTGCCCACTGTCCCTTCTGCAGTGTATTTCAGCAGATCAGCCTGTTCTGTTCCCTACTCTGTCTCTGGTCAATCCCCATGGGAACACCACTAACAAGGGTTAGCTAGATGAATACCAGATCCTATTCCACTATCTTCCAATAATGAAATGACTATATCAGAAATTAAATAAGCATATTTAAAATAGGTAGACTTCAAAGAAACAGAACCATGAGAAAACAATGAGATGCACGAAAGAAAAAATAAATTTCAGCAAAGGCTGTCAGGGGCAGACATGTCTGCTGACGTCACCTCACGAACCGGAAGTGCTGGCTGGGAGCCTGGCAACCAGCAAACAATTACCTTTACCGCGTATCCCTGTGGCCCCGAGTTGTGGCTTACAGAAGAGATGAAATGCGGCCAGAGGGACGATATGATTTTAAAAGATTTCCAAGAGAACGAGTACCTTATCAACGTAATCGCTGTGATGGCCACCATACAGTATTTAATATTGCGCCAAAGAAATCACCACTGCTAGACAGACCTGGTGAAGGAAGGTACAGTAGATATTACAGTCATGGCAATAACCGAAACGATGACCAGGGCCGCAGTCTTTTCCGTGATCGAAGAAGTGGTCCAGCTCACAGAAGAGATGAATCTGGCAGTAGGTGTACAAGAGATGACCATTCTGCCAGACGACAGCCTGATTACAGGAATATGAGAGGTGGCTTCCGTCAAAGAAGCTTCTACTCTTCCTATTATATGAGGGGCCAGCCTCCTCATAGAAGAGATGCTTCTTTTTCCAGAAAATCACCTATAGGCCGAAAGGACTTTCTATACAACAGATCTGGCTCCAGTGTCAGCAGTAGAAGCTATTTTCCAGAAAGAAGCGAATCATACTCTTCCCTCCAGTCTCAACATAGAAGTGAAGAAAGGCCTGTTCAGTCAGTGAAAACATCAAGAGACACTTCACCCTCAAGTTCTTCAGCAGTGTCTTCATCAAAGGTATTAGAAGAACCCAGTCAGCTAACTGAGAAGGAACTTGCTGAGGCCACAAGTAAGTGGGCTGCTGAAAAGCTGGAGAAGGCGGATGAGGGCACATTACCTGAAATTTCTGAGTCCGGCTCCACCACACCGTTGTTCATTGTCCAGCCAAAAGAAGCTGAGACCACGGCAGCGCAGCGCATGGAGCTTGGATACAGTGGGCTAACCAGTCGTTCTAAAGCAATAGCATCAAAAGCGAAAGAAATTGAACACTTTTACCGACAAGACTGTGAAACTTTTAGGATGGTTGTGAAAATGCTGATTGAAAAAGATCCTTCATTAGAAAACTCTCTACAGTTTGCATTGAGACAGAATTTACAGGAAATAGGTGAGCGGTCTGTTGAAGAACTGAAGCATTTTATTGCAGAGTATGATACCTCTAGTCAAGATATTGGAGGCCCTTTTTAGAAATTATTTGCTCAGGCAAAAAAAAAAAAAAAAAAAAAAACAAAGAACTGTTTCTAGATTTTCCCTTCCCCTCCCAATTATGTAAATCCTTAATCTATGGAATTTTTGTGATGAAGAGAAATAACATTGATAGCTCACTACATTCCAATATCATATAAGCATCTAAGGTAGTCTAAGATATTTTTTCCATCTGTAGAGCCACGGGTCTATACTTTTCGGCACTCCCCCCCTAAAATAATGGGTCAATTAATTTTCCAAACTTTGAAAAGAAGCAGTCTTGGGGACAGGACTTGTGTCTTCCATAGACTGCAGGCATTAACTTGGTCACATTAATTTATAGGTGAGAGATCATTCCACTTAAAAACATTTTTAGTCTTATTTCAGATCCAGTGATACCATGTGACATGTTAAAATTTTGACTTGTGGTTTTTTTGACTTGTTGAGCTTTGTCACTTCAAATATATTTAAGTATAGTACACACACCAAAAAAAAATGAGTACTTTGTTATCTTAGAGAATATTTGCTTTGGAATGACTCTCATTGTGATAAACTAGAGCACTTACATTGCTAGAAGATGCCTCATAATAAATAAAATCTGTTAACGAAGGAGATGAACTCAGTGTCTTCTGTTAATATAAACCTTAAAGAAAGAAATCTTAGAATTTAACTGTCCTCACCAACATATGAGTCATAACACTATCTTATATAAGTCTAAGGGGGAGGGGCATTTTGAGATGAATGATGAGGATTTGTTTTATAAAGTTGAAATATCTTTTTTTTTTCTAGTTGAAAGAGAAAAATTAGACTGCAATCTCACGAAAGAAGGTGATTGATCATATGTCCATGATTAAATCATTTGCAGGTTACGCCTTTGTTGATCTCTACTTGTAGTCTAACAAGTTAGTTATCCTGCTGCAGACCTTGTTAGGGGCTCTTAACCCTCAAAAATGTTCTTTATAAAAAAAGCTAAGCAGGCAGTGAGCCCAGCTACCTCTGATCAAGCCATCTGTGAAAACAGTGAACAAGCTATCCAGATCACGGCTTAGTGAAGAATCTAGCAGTTAGAATATTCCATTTCCTGGTCAATCCCAGCTGCCCACTGACATTTGTTAGGAGACCTTCAAAATCATGTTTGTTTTTACTGCCCATTTTCTTGGTCCTCCTGTCCTCTTTCTGTTTCCACTTCTTATTTGAATCCTGGCATCATGTGTGTGTGTGTGTGTGTGTGTGTGTATGATGTCTGTTGGTAATTATCTGAAGAACTACCACAGAGTAGATAAAAAATTTTATTTAAAGCAGAAAATAGCAGTATAAAATAATTATAGTGGATCCTCTGGTGGGTGGGTCTCAAAATTTGTATTATGCCATTCCACAAATTTTAAAAATAATGAAAGATGGCAATTGTCTTAAGTTCCCTATATGAAAGCACCTTGGATTTTTAATTCTGTTATTTGTATGGTGTATGGAAGCCAACCTCCACCCATCTTTTCAGGTATTCTCTGATATGAACAGTGATTTTATTTGTTACCCACTTTACAAAGACTAAGTAAGTTTGGAAATAAAACTTGAGAAGCTACCACTGAGGCAGGGGAGTTGTTTTACATTGTTGAAATTAACTAGAGCAATTTTCCTCACAGATGCATTTAAATATAGCTTCCACAGATAATTTTTTCTTCCTGTTTTCCAATTATTATTCACTACCTAAAGCTGCTGCTTGTAGCTTACTATAAGCTTTACCCTGATAGGCTTGTTAGTGTTAAATATATTTTTTTTCTAAGCTGTTTACTTTCAGGATAGTCAAATTCAGATGTGTATCACAGTGTGTATTTTGCAAAATGATTAATTTTGTTTGTAAATTAAAAAAGAATTTGAATGAGAAATTAACTGATGGTCTGTATATTAAATATCTAGTTAATGTAATTGAAACACCCAATGGATAAGTTAAATAGAAACTTAGGACAAAACTGAAAAAGAATTAGTGAACTTGATGACAAGCTGAAGAAATTATCCAAAATACAGTATGGAAAAAGGGTTAAGAAATATTTTTAAAAACTGGAAATATATGGAAGATACAGTAAGTATAGTATATCTAATTTGACCTTTGAAAGATAGGTTGGAAAGGTATCCATATTCAATAGTTGAGGGTAAAAATTTTTCAGAAATGCCAAAAGATGTAAATCTTTAAATTTTGGAAACTAAGAAATCCCAACTCGGATAAATGAAAAGAAAATTCTATCTAGACACAAAGAAATTAGCAAATATTAAAGGCATTAAGGGCAATGAATCTATCGTAAATATAACCATGGAGAGAAAAGGAGATTACCTACCAAAAAGCTAAACCAAACCAAAAAAAGACAAATAGATACATACACACACACACACACATTTCTCCACAGTGACAAAGAAGTAAAAAGAAGTTAGACTCAAACATCTACATAGAATATTACACCCCACTAAATAATGATTTAGTACCTGGGGTTAAATGAAACCATTTTTTAAAAGAAGTCAGTTAAAATTGTTGTGGAGGAGAGAACAAAAAAATCTAGTAATCAATGTTTGCACGTGGAAAGCTGAGTAACTTTAAAATTCTGTTCAAGAGATTGGGAAGTCATAAATATACAGACATTCAAACGGAACAAAAAGTAGTTCATGAAGCACAAAACATAATACAAGAAAGGTAAATATAATGTTTAAAATACTTGAGTCAGCAGTATACAATATAGATCACAATAAATTAAACTCGGTAATTCTAATTTAACTTTTTGTTTTAAAACAGTTTTACAGGAAGCAAGAATAATACAGAGAGGTCCTTGAGTACTCTTCATCCAGTTTCCCCTAATGGTTATATTTCATATAACTTAATAGCAAAACTGGGAAACTGACATTGGTATTATGTGTGTTTGTGTCTGTATGTGTGACTTTGTCACTTTCTCACGTGTGTATATAACCACCACCAGTCAAGTTCCAGACCTGTTTTATCACTACAAAAATTGGCTGCCTGCTCTCACTATCTTCACTATCTTCCTGGCAATTTCTGTTTTATTTCCTTTTTTTTTTAAATATTTGTATTTATCTATGAATACAAGAACCGGGGTTCATCAGAGACAGAGTTGGGAGCAGAACAGTTGAATCTACTGAAATAAACTGCTGAGGAGAACAGCAGGCAAGACAGGAGAGGTCTGCTGTGCCAGGTGGGTCAGCTCCCTGGCCAGAGATCAAACTCATGCTGCAGTGGCTGGCGATAGCTTGATAGTGCTGTGATTTAACCTCTGAACCACCAGGGAGGCCCACAAGCTCTGTTTTTCATTTCTATAAGTTTGTCATTTTTAGAACATTATGTAAATGCAATCATAGTTTCTTTGATCTTAGAAATCACTTCTGTCACCACGTATATTGACCTTGAGATTCATTCCAAGTTGTTGTATGTATTAGTACTTCATTCTTTTTTTATTGCTGACTAGTATTACTTGGTATGAATGACTGCATTTCTGTATATGTTCACCTACTGAGGAACATTGTGGTTGTTTCTACTTTTGGACTATTATAAACTATGCTGCTATGCACATGTGTATACAGGTTTTGTGTGGATGTAAATTTTTCATTTCTCTTGGATAGGTGCCCAGGAGTAAAATTTCTATACCATATGGTAAATGTGTATTTAGTTTTTAAAGAAACTGCCAAACTCTTTTCCAGATGACTGTATATTTTTACATTTTATATTCCCACCAGCAGTGCATCAATGATTTAGTTTCTCTGCATCCTCATCAACATTTGGTTTTGTCACTACATTTTTCACTTTACCTATTCTAATAGATAGGTAGTTATAGCTCATGATGGTCTTAATTTGCATTCCCTAGTGACTAGTGATTTTGATTTTTTTTTTTTTGGCTTAAAAAAACAGAAATCTATTCTCTCACAGTTCTGGACACCAGAAGTCCAAAATCAGCATTATTGGGCCAAAGTCAGGGTCTTGGCAGTAATGTTGAATATTTCCTATTTGCTTATTTACCATCCATACATCGTCTTCAAGGTGAATATAGGCATTGCTTGCCTATATTCTATCTGGAGGCTTTAACTGTTGAAATTACACACACAAACATACGTACATGAGAAGTAGGAATACTGCAGAAGAGGGTTAGATCCTCACTTTTCATATGGGAAATCAACTGATAAATTATGAAAGCATAATATTTAATCATATGGTTGTCAACACTAGAATAAAGATAAGTAAAACTCAGGTAGAAACAGAGGTGTGCTGTTTTTCATCATACAATACTTGGATAACTTTTGGAAATAAATTTAAAAACATGTGGCTTAAACCTAAACCAAATTCTGGCCACCAACTCCAGTTAGCATCAGAAAGTAGAGTTTATGTACTGATTTCCTATTGGCTGCATTGCAGAACCTATAAGATTTATAGATCTCATAGCTTAGGCACTTCAGTAATTAATGGTTTTATTATCTTCAATGTCAGCATCAGACTTTGTTACTTAAAACCATCCATCTCTTAGGAATCTTTTTTCCCTTAGTAGCATTCCTAAGAAAAGCATGTTTCCCTCATGATTTCATACTTCAACTATTATGTGCAGGGATGAAGTTGTTGAGACTACAGCAAAAATAGGAGTTTCTGAGCTAGAAGAAGCCAGTGAACACCAGACAGCCATCACCTGTTATGAAACTATCCCCAGGTAACAGGACCTAATGAAATTTCCTCACTTTCTAGTGTTTATAGCAAATCAGAAAGCAAGAGTAGGGGTTAAGATGCTTAAAGCTGATAAAATTGCTGTCTTATCATTTCTGGTGAGAGAATTGATATAGATGAACCAAGGAATATTCAGAGCAGATAATCACCTAATACTACTTTTTTTTTTTTAAAAGCCATCTTAAGCCTCACTCACTTCACCTAAGACCTTTAAATTGGAATCATATTCCTACCTGCTGAAGACTAATTTTTAAGCTATTTGAAAGTTACCCATGTGCATCTTGTCTTTGTGGAGACA